GTCACGACCAGTACTAATTACCCGAGCGCACGGCGCGCGCGCTGTCGGCCGCGGCCGCCAGCCCCGCGCCCACCGCGCGCCACGCCGCCGCCGCCGCGCTGCTCACCACGCTCGGTACCGCTGCATGCCTTCCATACATTACGTCACGACCAGTACTAATTACCCGAGCGCACGGCGCGCGCGCTGTCGGCCGCGGCCGCCAGCCCCGCGCCCACCGCGCGCCACGCCGCCGCCGCCGCGCTGCTCACCACGCTCGGTACCGCTGCATGCCTTCCATACATTACGTCACGACCAGTACTAATTACCCGAGCGCACGGCGCGCGCGCTGTCGGCCGCGGCCGCCAGCCCCGCGCCCACCGCGCGCCACGCCGCCGCCGCCGCGCTGCTCACCACGCTCGGTACCGCTGCATGCCTTCCATACATTACGTCACGACCAGTACTAATTACCCGAGCGCACGGCGCGCGCGCTGTCGGCCGCGGCCGCCAGCCCCGCGCCCACCGCGCGCCACGCCGCCGCCGCCGCGCTGCTCACCACGCTCGGTACCGCTGCATGCCTTCCATACATTACGTCACGACCAGTACTAATTACCCGAGCGTACGGCGCGCCTCAAAGAGCCATCAGACCACCACAGATGGGGCCCAACAGGGCCGATGCCGATTCGGAGTCGCGGAGAACCTAACGGGTGACCGGGGCTCCGGCTCGACGTGCAGGAGAAGGAACGGGGTGGTTTTTAGTCAGTAAGAGTCTGACACTCCCTCCCGCCTCACCCAGGCGGGAGCAGTCATTCGATGATTTTCCCCACTTAAAAAAAAAATAAAAAAAAATAGTACTTATAGATAACAGGGTGACCTAATAAAACCGTGTTATAGTATGCTGGTTTGGTATCTATGTAATATGATCTAAAAATTTATTTTAAGAGAAGAAAACCAGTACAAATTACGAATGAAAATAATACAAGATAGACGCGCCACCTATGCCTATTGACTCTCAGTGTCATGAGTATCATCAAAAATTTCAAAATTCTTCTATTTACCTTTAAACTTCGGTGCGCAAGTGGGACTCCTACTATCATTTGTTTTTAGTGATTACCTTCATAAATATTGTACTTCTCTATCTAACTATTATACGTGTAAAAATTTGCTACAAAAAACTTTCCTCACACTGGGATTTTCCCACCTTTTCTGAATCACCGATCAATTGACGAGTTTTATTGATAAATTTTCTATACATGGTACAGCATCTCGTCGCGAGTTGGGTGCACTAGTGTCGTGCTCGGCGCTGGCCGGGGACGCAGAGCGCGCCGCGGCCGCCCGCGCCAAGCTGCACGATGCGCACGCGCACAACCCGTACTACGACTTCTTGTATGCGCTGCATATCTCACGACATCATTATAGAAAAGGTAATTATGATTATATTAGTAATAACTTTTTTTTTATTTAGATCGATGAGACAGATACAGAACAGGAACAGATATTTTTTGGGAATAATTACAATATCTATATAATGAATCGCAGAAAAGTCAAAAATGTACATTGAATATATTTTTAAAAGAATACTTGGAGTGTGATCTACAATCGATACCGAAGCCAAAAATATGGTTTTTTGATTTTTTGTCTGTTTGTCTGTATGTATGTCCGGGATGATCTCAAAAAGTACTGCATGGATTTACTTCAAATTTTGCACGAATATTACTAACAAGTCGAGTTAACATATAGGCTACATTTCACACTATCATCTACGGGGGAGGAGCTCTATACTAGGTACTTAATCAACTCTGACGACATTCGTTATCATAGAATATCCCGTGATAAAGACTAATTCAAAAGCGTAAATTATGTCAGAAGTCATTACCTCTATTCTACGCGGACGAAGACGCGGGCAACAGCTAGTACGAAAATAATTCACTATAGTTGTAACAAAGATTCTAAACGCTTTAATGAAGAATAAAGCGTTTGATGAAGAATAGAAGATTGAGCACAACATTTGTTGCATATAGCGGCGGGAGTGATGTACGAGCGCGCAGCTCGGTGCGGCGCGGAGCGGTCGGTGTCGGCGGCGCGCGTGCGGCGGCGCTGTCTGGCCGCCGCGCTCACCTGTCTCAGGCTCGCGCAGCCCGACCACGCCTTCCTGGCCAGGCCCGCGGAGTCGGGCAAACTGCTGCAGGTACTCGTATATCGTACAAATCAAATGATAATGGGATACAAACTCACACTTTTACACGTTAATATTTAAATAATGAGGCCGGAATTTCCGAGTCGCAAGAGTTTATTAAAAATAAATTATAATTATACACACTTTAACGTCCTAGACTACACTCACAGCCATGCGGTTGCAGTAAAAGTTGTCGACCAGGTTATCAGGAATTTAGGCTGAAAACTAACAAGTTGGGCTAGATCCGAAGATCAAGATCACCAGTACCTGAGTCTAGACTAAATCTGCACTGAATTTGGGAAAATAATTATTATTTATAGCAAATAATTGCTGATGCATAATTTAGTGATTGACGTAAATTAATGCAGTTCTAACATACAGGCAATTTGTTCGTCGTCATTCCGTTTAGCCCAGATTCCCGCCGAAGCATGGCTCTTACACGTTAAACAATTTAGTATTTTAACGTATGTACTTTTCAAAAGGTTATCGGCCCGGAAGAATTGGCCGCCGAGCTTCGAGAAGAAGACACCGAGTCTTTGGATCCTGTGCAACAAGCGTTACTCCGTAAGTTTCTCCAAGTACTTATGCTACTTACTCACTAAATACAGGTGTTACTGTGTTAACTAATCGGCTGTATGTTGTATGAGATCCCATTACTGTAGTTATGATGGTTCGACGTGTTTTTCTTATAGGAGGCGATAACATCGACTTTGACATGTTATACCCAAAACTGAAAGACGCTGATCCAGAAACCCTGCTGTCAGTATTAAAGAGAGCTATAAGTACTGGCCAGTTTCTACCGCACTGGTTCCTACAAAGATACATGGTAAGTCGTAGCTGTTGGTATGGTAATATTTTTAGTAATTATAATGAAAACAGGTCCTTTGTTGAGGTCCAAGAGAGCTGTTGGTTAATTTTGGGCTCCTGTATTTTTATGCGATCTATCAGTGAAACAGGATTTTTGAATGAGTTATTATAGACTTCTGTTTTAGTCTAATAGTAAAGTCTTTAGTCTTCTTTTCTACTTAGCTTCCCTACATAATGACAGATAGAGAAACATAGTCTCTTTCATTCCAAGTGTCTAATAATTTTACTGAAACAAATGATAAATTAGACCGGTACGAGTATAGAAGATATTAACGCAGTGACTTGATATACAGGAGGTGGACGGGGCAGGCTGTGTGCGCGCGTTACTGAGCGGCGGGCGCGCGGCGGAGGCGGGCACGCAGTGCTGCGCGGCACTGCGGCGCGCGCTGCACGTGCTCGTGCCGCGCTGTCCCGCCGCGCCGCGCGCCGCGCCGCTCGCGCTGGCGGACGTACTACTCGCGGAGCTCGGACACCATACTGGGGACCCATTCGTACAACAGGTAACTGTCTACCATAAAGAATTGGTGGTCTTTTTAAGTATTGTTTCCTTCCTTAAAATTCAGTTAAATGACCTCTTTTAAATAAATCTGGTCGCTATATATTTCTCTCTCCGAGGGAGACCCATATTTCAGAACTAATAGGTCGGGTCGACCGGAACGATACCACGACTTCATTGAAATGCGTTTTAAGCATTGTCGCTTGTTTAAATAAAAGTAACTTTAATCAGGTCAATGACTCCTCAATTTCTTTTTATAAATAAGCATAGAAAAAGAAATCCTTTTAATGTAATCATAAAAAATACACCTTATTATTTAGCAAGTTGATAAATAAAATCTATTTATGGTTAAATATTACTAATTATTTGTGATTCACGTTTCTCTAAACGCTCTCTCGAATTCTCGATAAATTCGATCACGTGATTAAACGTTGTGTTATCGTCAAAACATACATGAACGTGCAAGTATGAAATAACGTTGACTTCATATTATTTGCCACAAACAAATGTGAATATAATATAATCATATTTCGGTTTATATATATCGACATTATAAACTGTCATGATATATTTTTCTTGCCTATAATAATTGTTATGATAATGTGTACTCGTAAACTTTGACCTATTGTCGAGATTCAACAGTCGAATACACACACAATCTACTACACAAAGGGATCAAACCAATCAAAGATGAATTCGTGATAAAACATGGAAATAAACTTTGTCTTTGATCAGGAAATGTATTATTGGGTATTATCGAGCGCGCCCATTGCCGTACAGCGGGTACCAATCCATACCAATCCAAAGTCTGTATTACTGGAGTTCTTATTAAGTTATTAGTCGTTTGCCAACCCGTTTGCATACCCAATAGCTCGAATAGTCGCATTTGCGACAACTCAACCATATGTGGATTAATTGAACTTACGTAATGTGATTTGATGTCTTATCTTAGTCCAATTTTATATACGTTGACAAATTAGCGTTGAGTACTTTTCATTGTTTTCATGCGAGATCTTTGACCAAAGTTCAATGTACATTTAATTACGTGTCAAAGTCACATTGCACTGATAATGTAAGGACCCAACAAAATGAACTAAGTATTAATTTTATCATTCAGTCTTATCCCTTTGGCTGACCTCATTCAAACACAAAGGCAGCATTTTATACATTGACAATTTATATTTTACAAGTGTCTACTGAGTACTGAGACTTTGAACCCTAACATTCTAGCATTGACAGTATCATTATTGTATGCGGCCAGCCTTATACTAGTTACATTTTAACATTCAATGCCTTTATTTAATATTTTGTTTACGAATGTTATGATAAATAAGTATTTTATTTATTACAGGTTTACAATGAGTTAGATGGTTTGGTTAAAGAATACACCAAAGTTGTTATAAGAATTTCCGACGATATGAAACTGGCGCGAATGGAGCATGCAGTCAATTAGTGTAATGGTTATGTATTCAATAAAACACATTCTTTTTACGAGACTTGTTTTATTAATAAAAATAAATAAAAACGTTCTAATCCGTCACCTCCTTTAAAACCAACTTAACGAATATCTTACACCATTGTATATTATTTACTGATCACAAAAAAAAATTGGTAACAACACATCTATACCTAAATATACAGAATGTCACAGACTTCGTATTTTTCTAAGAAAATTCGCTAAATGCCTTTATACTAAGGATTATCCATTTACATAAGCATTGGGGCCATGGTGGTATGTAACGCAATGCCATACGTACGTCACTGAAATCATCGGCAACAAAGTTAAATATAATGAGCAAATACTAAATTACCTCTAAAAGCTTTGTTGTCTTTTCTTGTTCACACAGTTTATTCAAAACAAATATTTTAACTTCATGGGAATCTTTCTGTAGATCTAATTTATAAACATAATCCGGAATATATATCCGTCTTACTATTAGGTACTAATTTCTAGACGATAATTCTAATGGTAATCCATTACAGTCAGAACGACATCAAGGGCTAAAATATTTTTAATCAAGATAGATTTCACTCGAAAGAACCTTTTTCGTAGTTTAGTCCTTCCGCGTGAAGTATACACGGTGGAGTGTGGTCAGTGTAGAAATTAGCTACATTCAATACGTAAGTACATTACAAGACAATTATTATTTTCTTTGGCTAGATCAAAACTTTATAAGTTGTTTAAGATAACAATACCTTAATTACTCGCCGGTTTTCGTTTAAAAAATGTAACATGAAACGTAGTGTCATTATTTATTTAGAGAGCTCTTATACTTTTTGCGCAGTTCACAAAATGGAAATGCGTGTTGTTCTTCTCAAGGAAACTATACACTAATAGCCCCTATTCAAATTATTTGCTACTTAATTATTGTTGAACTTGCATTTATATTATGTCGTATTAATACTAAAATTTTCGTAGTAACCTCGACTTAACACACCCATGTTAATGCAGTCAAGGTTGCTTGTTCAAAGAATTTATACCTGAGGTACCTCGCTATCATCTGTAGATACATTAGCACATAGTGTGACCCTTTTACATCACATCACATCTCCGAGTTTTTATAACTAGTGCTATTTTTGCAAGCAGTTTCATCATTTGGCACATGTCATACATAACACAGAAATAATACGTACTTATATTATTATAAATTAATCAGTTTTCTTCATACAGCAATTTATTGCTGTTGTCGTGTTTTTTTCTTCAAGTTAGACGTAATTATTTGTTGAATGCTAATTGTGAGATTCTATTAAGTAGTATTTATTTTTTTTACTTTGCACGGTACATATCTTTGTACCTACTCATATTTATTGCTATTATTTTTTATTTTAATGATTGGCCTTGTTATATGCGTTTTTAAATCCCATAATAAACAGTGATTTTGATCAAGATGCGACCTTGTCTTTTCGTAACTTTGCAACACACTAACAAAACAGGTTTTATGTAGCGTATGTATGTATGTTATTGATGTATGTATCAATGTAGTAAACGCAAATAATGACGTAATAAGTTCCTAGCTTCTATGAACTTGGTTAGTCAACGTTTTAATGCCTAGCCATTCTGACTCTCATTATCGTTAGCACTAGTCGAACCAACTTTTCGTAAATAATAAACATAAGAGCGGCTGTCATGATTGTTTGCAATAATTTAGCCTCTAACCCACGGAACGCCAATAAGGGTTGCGATTTCACATCTCTAAATAATGGTTTTAAACTGGTGCCAGCACGAAGTTTTGATTGTACCAATTGTAATGGATAAGTTAAAGTTGTAGCTACCGCTTTTGCCACGGCGCCAACTAGAAATGCAGAGAACGTATCAAACATGCCCCTAGCTATTAGTTGCCTCTTTAGCGATTCGTAAACCATAAACTGAATAGCTGGATTAGAGACAAGTAACAAAGAAGGTACTGTACCAGACCACAGACCTTTAGCTCCTTCTTTTTTGTAGAGGTCTATTAACCCTTCGGTTAGGCTGTGGTAGGTTGAAGTTTGTAACTTCATTCGGGTATTAACAACCCATAATGGCGAAGTTAGAAGAACGTTTATACTTCCAGCGATTAAGCCGAACATCAAGTCTTTCAGGGCAGACGTTTCTTTCGTTGACACCCTACGTAAGCCATGAAATGTGTAGAAATATACAAAATTAGACACTGACAGAGACTGCAAAACAGGTGCCAATCCTCGGTATAAGGACTCTAGCCCTTCTTCACTCGCTAATTTTAATAGCAGCTCCAATGATGAACCTTGTAGTTTCTTGGAATCCTCAACTGGAAACAAAACAACATTTTAAATGTTAATAAGTTATAGTCAAATTGTGCCCAACTATAATTGTTAATTTAACATCCTGGGTAAAGCATAAAAACTCGATTGTAGTTTTTTGGAACAATTTCGTAATTCTCAACTAAAGGTGCATTCGTGCATTACGTACTCGAGTTGATCGAAGCCTGGACTGAAATACAAGGACTGATTCCCAAGTCCAAACAATTAGGACAACTGATGTTGTCAATATTGAAGTTGTTAGTAGTCTTAATTACGTAGTACAATAGTTAAACAATACACATCATTCGTTACAATATAATACCGGCTTGTATTGTTGTTTTGTTTTTGTTTACTTTATATCAAATCTTATAAAACTAATTATGCAATTCAGTCAATTGTAATTGTACATTAATTACGTATTTTAATCTCAAGTAGATTACACATTCGCAGAGATCTTTTACTCCGCTATCTAATTGAGGATTTTCTTAATACGATAAGTGGTATCAAATACCATATTTGTTATGATTAAAGCCTGTTAAGCTTAAGGATCTGACTTAAGGGAAGATACGAGGTAGTAGATCCGTTACAGTTTTACTTTATTCAATAAATAATAGTTATAGTTACTTAAGAAACAAATATGTAAAATGTACTTTACATAGGTACTACTTTGAAATTAACGCTGTTATAAAATAAATAAATTACCTTGTATTCTCGATCTTAATGTATCCAATGGATAGAAAACTGCCATGCCAACTACGCTGCCCTGAAATAATAAAATAAAAAGGACTAAAGTACAATTCTTCTTTTAAGGAAGTCATAAATTATATTTTTGTAAGTCAGACGATTTAACAGTGGTCATTATCAGATAAGTACGTACCGTTGCTCCTGCTATTGCATGCACAAGAGTTTCATAACTAAATAATGAAGGTGCCATTTTTACTTAATAAAAACTGCAAACCACTTGAAATAAAATATACATTAATCGAAAATCATCGCACTTTGACCCTGCCCCCGTTATATTTCCTTGAATAAATATTAATTTGTAACAATTTTACTACATGACCACCTCAATCTACGAAACACATCGTGCTACTGACTGATTGATAGTGATTGGTCATTACTATCATAGATACATAATATACTGTATCAAACGGAAATGGTGGACTGGAAAAACACTTGAATGGCCTATTGCGTGTAAACATCACTATGTCAACAGATGGCTAGAAAAGGTTCTAGATGATGTACCACCATTTCCACCAAGTCTTGCAGGGCATCATATTTTCAGCAAAAAATGTGGTATTGCTTTCTCTTCGCTAAAAATATAAACCAAGGAGACTAGTTCATTTTGTAACTTTTTTTAAATAGCAACATTTACCGGAGTACTTTCAAAGTGTCAAGTTATCCTCTATGGTATCATTATCATGTGTCAAAGTCAAATTATTGCTGTCAGTGTCATTAAAAGTTTATTTGTTGTGTTCATGGAATATTTTGTTAATGGACTTATTATTTTAATTAACGATGAAGGTGTTTATGTCTGAAGACAATTTATGCGCTCAAAACTTGCTGAAACTTGTGTCTCATGGAAATGCAATAGTTGCGGAAATTTTAAGATTAAAGGATCATAAACCCAGTGCTTATCTGTAATAAAATTCATTCGCTTGTTAAAATACTTTTAAAAAAACTGCTGAATATCTATATACCTTCACTGAAGAAATATTAAATTTATTGACATAATTTCTTTCAGTTTGATAATACAACATTGCTTTTTTTAAGTTCATATCATTTTATTGCAGTAAAAATTTAGTAGAAAGTTTTATTTATTTATTTCAGGCTAGATAATAGAGAATCCCAACAAAAATATCAGGATGTTATCTTGGACTTCAGTTATTTTAAAATTTCTGATGCTCAAGAAAAGAAAATTAATGCTAACCCTGTAAGTGTATACTTACCATTTACTTTTAAGATTATAATATAGCAATAAATAAAGATAACATTTTTACCCAACTATTCATAATTAGGAACCTTTCATTGCTAAATCATTGTAATCTAATATGTTGAATTCCCAGCTACCTACAATGCTTAGATGTAGAATGTTAAGTTACTTGTAACAAATTACAATATCTCCCATTGACAATTAGTATAAAACTAGAACAACACCTACTTCTACTTTTGTGAATACTGTAATTGAATGAGCATAATTAAATCTTGTAAATTAATTTTATACTTTTTTTCAGAAATTGCTAGATTTAGATGATGAGTTAAAAGAAAAATACTTAGAAATCATAAACAGGTTTTATTTGCTTTTTGAAAATATCTACCAATACATAGTTGATCTGAACTCTTTTGTAGAGCAGTTGCATGATAATACCTTCATCCAGCAAAATATTGAAACTGTACTGAAAGATGTTGAAGGAAAACAGCTTTTGGTAAGTACTTGAATTTATTTTTGAGTAAATATCTACATAAATAATTAGGGTGATTTTAAATAAATATTTCCTATTATCAACCAACTTCAAAAAAAAAGAGGTTCTTGGTTAGACCTGTATGTATGTTCGTCTGCAATAATCTCCCGATAGGCTGCACCAACCAATGTTGATATGAACTATTGTCATTACGTCTAGTAGAGCTTTTCTCAATGTGAGTAACCCGTGATTTTATTTTATTTAGTATGTCTCACGATAGTTATTATAAAAACAAAGTTGATATGGTTTTCATAAAAGTGTTTGTTATGCTTAGGATAATGTTTTAGTATATTAAAAAACCAAATACAAAGAGAGTGGTTGTAGCTGATTTTTGTTATGTAATTTGTAATTAGATCAGTAATACTTTATTTATATTATTTTAAAATCATGCAAGCAGGCGCATGCAGTCTTTAGTGTCTGATTGGTAGCTATAAAACAATAAAACAGCTGGGTAATTTATTTAAAAACTAACTGGTAAGTAATCATAGGTATTATAATATAACTATGAAAATATTTAAAAAATTGTTACTTTTCAGTGTGAAAGTTTATATTTATATGGAGCTATGCTATTATTATGTGACCTCTACATACCGGGTCCAATGAGGGAAAGATTACTGGTAGCATTTTATCGCTACAGTACAAGCCAATCGCAGTCCAACATTGATGATGTGTGCAAACTCCTAAGAGACACCGGCTATGACCAGCAAAATGGACGAAGACCTGCTGATTATCCTGTCGAATATTTTAGGTAATTTATCAGTTTTAGTCAGCAGTGATAAAAGTAACAAAAAAAAGCGTAGGTTGACTTACTGGGTTGTAATGATTATATTTATTCATTTTGCAATAATAATGATGCTTCCTTTTAGCCGCGTTTTCATACGCCCTGAATTTGTCGAAAAAGTGGTAGGAAAGCTAAGATCGGAAGATATCTACAACCAACTAGCAGTTTACACAATACCAGAGCATCAAGCATCTGCACTGGGCACACAAGCCAGCATGCTTGCCATCTGTTTATTTTTTACACCCTACTATCTACATACAGATACATCCAAAATGAGAGAAATAGTTGACAAATTCTTCCCAACAAACTGGGTAATTCCCGTATACATGGGTGTAACAATGAACATCATTGATTATTGGGAAAATTTTAAAGCAGCTAAATCTGCTCTCAGCAACACTTGCAATAGCAAGATGATCAAAGAAGTATTTGCTAAAAGAGGTGGATCAGTACCAATGCTTACTACTAAAACTCATCAACTACTAAAAGAAGGAACACTCACTGATGATTTTGTATTAGACAATATTAGCAAAATTCTAAATCTCTTATTAAATTCCAATTTAGTATTAAGGTGGCTTCTTTTACATAATACTGATGTAACATTTTATGATAATAATAAAAAGAGTAAACAACTTAAAGATTTAGTACTGAAGGAATCTAATTATGATCCATTGAAAATTTTGGAACTATTAATAAGTACCGCAGAGTTGGAATTAAAAGTAAGAGAAATATTAAACAGATTGCTTGAAAATAGAGAGTCCACTTGGAATATGAATAAAAATCTCGCTATAGAAGCATTAAACAGTTTGGCTGAGCTTTTCTCAGGAGCTAAACCTGTTGCTAAAATACAAGAAAACGAACAACTAAGGCTTTGGTTTGATAGCATTGCAAAACAAGTATCATCTTTAGGTGAACCAAGTTCATCTAAGTCAATCAAGAAAGTAACTCAGTTACTACAAGCTTTAGATGAAGTTGAAGAATTTCATGGCATAAAAAGTACTTCTACAATTGTTCAATATTTGTGTGATAGCAAAGATGCATTGAAAAATCTATTGAGAGCCGCTTCTTTGAAAGAAGATTCCCTGGTTACGTTGGAAACAGTTGCTGATGTAAGCTATGCTTGGTGCACTATCGATTTGTATACAAAGCATATGCAGGATAGCATTAAAGAAAATCCAGCTGTTACCAGCAGGCTAAGAGCACTCTTCTTAAAGCTAGCTAGTGCCATGGAAATCCCATTACTTAGGATAAATCAGGCCCACAGTGACGACTTGGTGTCAGTGTCACAATATTTCAGTAATGAACTAATTAAATACATTCAGAAAGTTCTCCAAATTATTCCAGAAATGGTTTTCAATATTGTGGAGAAAATAATTGATTTGCAAACTTGGGCTATAAAAGAAGTACCTACGAGATTAGAAAAGGAAAGACTACGGGATTACGCGCAGCTGGAAGATAGGATGGAAGTAGCCAAATTAACTCATTCTGCTTCTACTTTCACAACAGGTTCGTATGGCATTAACAAACCACAAATTCGTATTGTGGGACACTTACTTAAGTTTGTGTAATTTTTCAGGAATACTGGATATGAGATCTACATTAGTGGGCGTAATAAGAGTAGACCCTGCAGAATTATTGGAAGAAGGATTATTGAAGGAGCTAGACAGACATATCAGCAAAAAGTTTGTGGAATTCCTAGAACCTCAGGGAAAGAAATACCAACCTACTGCAAGCAATTTAATGTCGCGACTACAGAAGTTGGCTGAAAGTATGGATGGATACAGGCGATCTCTGGAATACATTCAGGATTATATAAATATACATGGCTTAAGAATTTGGCAAAAACAGGTATATAATGCAAATTGCATTCCTGCTACAAAATATTTGTGCGAGAACTTAACTAGGTACCAATTTTACCACTACTTTTGAATACTTTCATTATTTTATAATGTATTTCTTTGTATCAGATAACTGCCATCATTACTGAAAGTGTCTCCAAGGAGATCAGCTTCCGTAAAGGAGTAACACTGTACAGCCCCTCGGCTGGCTTCATGGGCAGCCTGGCTCGTCAAATACCGCAGTTAGTGGATGCAAGGTAACAAAATAACGATAAGGGCTTTTAATACAAACTATTAAATTTCAAACGCGTATATATATTTTCTTTTTCTTCAGGATATGTTCATACGTGAACGTGTGCGCAGCCTGGTATGACGTTAAAACTCAAAATGAAATAATAAATAACAAAACATTCGGCAAACTGAACGAAGCTATTGGAGTGGTTGGTCTTCATGGATTGGATACTTTGTATGGATTTATGGTAAAGAACCAAATGCATAATGTTCAAGATCTATTCAGGAACAGTCAAGACAAGTTTCTCATGGGGAATATGACTAGCAACATGAAAGATTTGGAACATTTTATTGCTAAGGGATATAAAACATTCCAACAATTATCTGACGTACTTGTATTGATAGGCACTCTGCAAATCATCAGAAGACACATTGCTTATCAGTTGAATACAAGTTGTAAATTTGATTCAGCTCAACTAGAAGCGTCACTTAGGACCATGAATGAGTAAGTATTGCATAGAGTGTAACTAAAACTTAATAATTTGAATACCACTATTTATGTTTTGAGTCCCATGTAATAGGGTGTAAGCCTATTGCCATATACCGGGCACAATTTCAGACTCCGTGCTACTACTGACAAAATTTAATAAACCGAAGAAATACTTTGTCCTACCCAGGAATTGAACCCAAGACTTCTTGCCCGGCAGTCGCACTTGCGACCACTTGGCCAATGAGGCAGTCAAAGTAGTAGTAACTTGAAGACAGTTTTAAATCTAGAAATAAGATCAAATCTTAGACATTTATCCTCAAAACGTTAAATTTTTTTCAGGTCTTTAATAAATGAATTAAAGATATCGACACATTCTGAAAGCCAACCTAAAGTGTCATCGTTGCTTCTGCAAAATCTGGAAGAGTATTTGGTGAGATGTGGAATTTATGAACCATATGATAAGATTTATGTGAAACACGCGCAGGAATTCTTGAACGCAGATATGGGTCGCATTCTTGTCGCCCTTCTAATTTCACAGTTACCCCGACTGCAGATATGCTACACAACAGGTATGTTAACTAATTTTATTAAAACTAAGTACTGATTTGCTAATCACAGAACAAAAAGGTCGATTTTATTATAGATTATGATATTGGTTGCTTCCCGATTAATTCGAAACCACCAACACAATTTCTATTGATAGAATGCAGCGGCACTCTGTAATTAAATAAAGATATAATAATTATTATCTGTGTATTCCAGGTGATCTCATAACAAGAAGAACAGGAGACAATATAGATGGCTATCCTCTGTTAGTTGGGATCTACTCACTGTTACGCCAAAGCAAGACCGAAAATGTTGCCATATTTATCGAGTCTTTATGCACTTACGTCAAGTTAGTACTTAGTTTTCTCTTAAACTGTCAAACACCAAGCGGTCACCGGTGACCGCAACCTATTGTTCTATAATTGTGTGTACAAAACCGGTACTCGACGTGTTAATAATCAATTATTTAACTTTATGAAATCTAGGCCGGCAAATGAGCATACAGATTAAACCTAATAGTAAACAATCGACTCCGCCCATGTACGACCACAGGTATGTTACCCGCAACACCACAGGTAACTATGTTGCCGGTAGAAGGGCCTCCAATAACCTTAATTACACGGTAAAATACGGCAGCGTTGTTTCACGACGATGGAGCCGGCAGCAAGACTCTGGCTCTTTCATATCCGGACTCACTGAATAACGTTTATATTTTAATTGATGTTCATGTATCTGATCATGAGTGTAAGCAAAAACTAATTAAACTCTTCGGTTGCAGATCCAAACATACAGACTCAACAAGCGATGCTACAGCAATAGTGAGGATATTGCAAATGTTCTCAGAGACATTCAATTATCCCTTTGCCAAACTGGAAGATAAACTTCCACTAATTTTGCTTACACATACTCTCCAAAAATAACATGAAAAATAAAATAAGTTTATTGTTCATTGAAATCATATTTGTTATAAATAAACAAAAGTATGATAGAAATATATTCCACTATGTTATTAACTTCATTGTTTCTATTTTCTAGAAGATTTATTTATAATTTTGCCTTGCCAGTTCAGGGTTGAACTGTGAATTGTATTTAGGTTTCAATCTTGTTTCTTTATCAACTTCTTTAGTTTCATTAGAATTATGAAGACCTTTCAAAAACAATTCAGTTCTGTATTTCTCTTGCTGTTCTCTTCTCAGTCGAGCTTCTCTTAGCTTTTGTAATTTCATTTCTTTATCTTCTTTACTATCCTTTTTGTATTTCCTTTTCTTCTGTTCATCATTATCTTTTTTAATTTGTTCTTTAGGTGGTTTACAATCTTTTTTGATTTTATCATATTTATGAAGATGTTTAAATGCATTCATTGGGTCAAGCTCCTGTTTTCGCTTATAATTGACCTCTCCATCTTTTACATCTGGTTCTTTTACTTTAGGTTTACCATCAGTATCCTTCAAAACTAATTTATCATAAGTATCCTTAATATTACTTGATCTAGAGTATCGGGATGTTTCTGGTGCTACTTCATACCAATTCTTTTTACCAAGAGCTTCATTGGTGTCTTGTCCGAGATATGTCAAGTAACCAATCTTTTTCTCGTATTCTTCTTTTTTTTCTTTTGCTTCATTGTCATGATCCTTATTTGTAGTTTTAACAGCTTCATCTAAATTTGCAAACAAGTTGATATGTTCATTTGCTGTATCTCGTACAGGCTCCGAGTTTGATTGGACTATGCCGTATTCTTGTAATTTTTCTTTGCTTTTGTATTTCAAAACACTAAGGCGTGCCTCGCGATCAGCTTGCTCTATTCGCAATTTTTCCTGACGCTCTTTTTCGGCAGCTTCGGCTTCATCTTTCCTTACTCGTGCTATATTTTCTTTTGTTCTTACATGCCATCTGTAATAAATAATTCAAATAATGTTAAGGGTCATTTTCAGCAACCGAAGGCCTAGACAAAAGGTGTCCAAATGATTTTTGCTTTAATATTAGGTATAAAGCGATGGAAATGGAAAACGCCATTTATAAAAATTATAATTTTTGATGCAAAGTTTTAAAGTCCTAAATCTCTTGCCTTTGCTACACTCCGACCAGACATTTTAATTGTTCTAAAGTTTATTAATTAATACCTATTTTAGGCTACAAATATTTTAATTTTTTTTATTGAAGTGTTACATACCTTTTCTTTGGGAGAATATTCATTCCGATTGATAAATACTGTACTTATTCTACAACTACACTAGTTGTACAGGTATAACTAGTATTGAATGGAGTTATATTTGTAGTCTACTGTATTCGCTACAGTTTTATAAAATTCGAATTAGAAATGAAACATTTATAAAACACGCAAACACAACCCAAAACACCACAAACAGTTAACGTCAATGTACTGATTTACTGTCAAAGTTATGAAGTGTCAACTGAAATGGGAGATCTTAAAAAAAAAAGTTTAGTGATGCGAACTGTAAAACCCATAAAATTAAAATGAGGTCACAGCATTTTGTATTCCGTAACATTACATTATTTCTAAATCAATTAATAACACTAATAATATCACTATGCAATTATAGCTTTATTAATATAGCGCTAGTACTATTTATACCGGTGTGTGTGAGTGTGCGTGATTAATAAATAGTCGATTAGATCTGTGTTAGTAATATTTCTTTGGTTCTCGTTGTCAATGATTAGTATAGCAGTACATCTCTAGTGCGCGTAATGTAATATGGACGTACAGACGCAACGCAAAGCAAACTTTGTCTTGATTGTGTATTAATTATTGGAACTAGGTAATTCTTAGTACCAATGTGGTATATTGTTTGTAAACTTGAAAATAATAGTGGTTTTTCTATTTATTGAAATACAGACTGTATAAATTTGACGTTTGCGTTCGTCAACAAAACTTAGGTTAACTCTATTAAAGGCAATAATAAATTCATTTTTTGTTATTTTAGTGACTGTATTGGCAAAATGGAAGCAGTAGAAGAACCTCCACTTCTTAATACAACCGTAGATAATATGAAGGTAACTGTAGTGTTTGATGAAAACAACGAAAACGATGTGGCTTCGGTAGCTACTGATGTATGTCACAAATCAAACGGCGTCGCGGAATCCGAATCTGCTGAAGTTGCTGCAGTAGAAAGTAACTCAGTGCCAAGCGAAGATAGTAAATGTGAGCCTGAAAGTGCTGAAACATCTACAGACGTGAATGATAAAACGCAGGATATTATTGAAGAAGTAGCAGAAGCTGCTGTGCCCAAAATTATTGAGTCGACTGACACAATTGTAGAGCATAGTCAGCAAACCACAGATGACCCCTCTTCCACTATAGAAGAACCAGCAGTTGTCAAGGAAGTTATAACAGTTACTTCTGAAGAAGAAACAGTAGTTGAAGTTGATAATACTGCACAGGTATGTTCAGAGAGAGTCACTTTTCAGACTGAGATATTAATTGAAACAAATGATAATGATATGACTGAAACAATTACTGAAGAATTGGTTGTTGATGATCAGCACTCCAACAATTTACTCAGTGAACTCGGTCAAAGCATTGAGCTTAGTGAAGCTTTACGCTCATCAGATGTGAGTGATAGTGTAGAAAATAATAATAGTTCTGTAAGACAGGAAGTGTTCAACAAAGAGGAGTTGTTGGACATCTTGGAAGGAAATGATGAAGAACAAAGCGAGTCACCAAATTTAAAAAATGTGTCGTCTGATAAAATTCTTGAAGCTACTATAGCTTTGCAACAACTTAATCGATTAAAAAGTGCTAATAAAAAACGTGGCACCAATGAAAGATTGCCTAGAAATCGAAGAAGTGATAAAATTGAGAAAGTATCTCAGCAGAAACAAAAAGTGGGTAATACTGAGGAAAATATAGTCAATGTTCTTGTGAAAGAGTGGGATGATGAGGAAATGGAGGGGGAAAAGACAAACAAGTTGTTACAAGAGAGTGAAGACTTGCTGAAGACTACTGAAGATGTTGTCAAAACCCAAGAAATAGTCACTAAAGAAGAAGAACAAGCATCAGCTCGGTCATCCATCGACTCATCTAGTGATGGAAAATTACAAGTCTTAAACAAAAGTAGTGATGAAGGAGCACCACAACGCCGACTCGGTAGAGTTATAAAGAAAAAAGTTATATTTGATCCTGACAACCCAGATACTTTTACCAAATCTAAAGCTGCTGCTAAAAGCAAAGAACCAAGTATGGAGAAAGATGTGACTCCATCAAAAAAAATTAAGACTGAACCAACTTTTCAGAGGACCAAATCTAAGTCACCTATTGCAAAATTACAATGGAAAAAACCTTCTCCTAAGAACTGCAAACAAAATAAGCGACTGACTGAAGTTGATAAGTTGTTGATGGATGAAGGAGCTGTTAATATGATTTATCAGCTCACTCCTGAAGCACAAAAAGGAAAAAAAAACATGAAAACTAAAGCAGAATTCATTAAAAAATTACAAAGCTCAACACCTGTCTCAAAAGAAATGAAATTTAGAGAAAGGAAAAAGGAGTCAAAATATGAAGAAGGAGAAGCTAAGAAAATTCTAGGTGGCAAACAGAGATCATCTTTAAATAGTTCAGTAAAGTCACCCTCAGTCTGTGAAGACTTTGAGGCACATAGTGCAGATGATTCTATTATTTATAGACGGCACTCTTCAAGTTCTTACTCTAGTTCGTGTATGAGTCCTCGACGGTTGAGTGATGTAGAGTCTGGCTCTCGTAACCCCCCACAAACTGTGCAGGCTGAGGTTCAGAATCAGTCCGCTGGTGAGAGCCCCAATAATCATCCTTTGGCTGATGTATTCATGTCAGATAACACAGATGCAATCAGACCCGATGCAATAAATAAAGATGATTGCTTGTCTATTAAAGAAAAACTGAATTCTAAATTAAATCTTGCCTTAAATAAAAGAAAGCGTGAGATTATAAAAGGTGAAAAACCATCAAAAATTAAAAAACTAATGAAATCTGATGAAAAGTCCCATGTAAATAGTGAAGATTTTAAATACTTGTCCATTAACTTTGATCAAAGATTAGCTGAGATTTGTGTTCAGAAAGCAGGGTCCAGATGTAATATTGAGGTGAGTTCTCTTTTTTTCACTTTATTAATAACTTGTTTGAAGTACACCAAGCCTAAAAAATGCGTAAGATCATTTTGTATAAAGTACATACTTTCTATTTCTAATGAATTTTATTTCAATGTCTGTCTGGTAGATTATTTTAAAACATTAGACACACATTTTTTATTTTCTTACAAACTTTAGACTTAATACTTTAGACGATATATTGATTTGAAATTAAATTTATTTTTATATACTACTACCCTGTTCTATAAAAAATAGAGATCATAACAGTTTATATTTCATTGACAGATGTTAAAAGAGTTAGAAAAAGCACTACAAGTTGTTGAAGCAAAAAAAGACATATCAGTGACACTGTTGTCATCTGAGTGTGCAACTGCATACTCAGATTTAGACTTAAGACCATTGTTGGATGAGAATACTGAAAAGTCTTCTAACTTTGCTTACGAGATGGCTGAATCTGTAAGGTGGGTTATTGTTTTCATTAAAAATATGAATTGTATTTCTTCTTTGTGGTGTTTTATTAAACTAGATTCCTAGAGTTACTGGAATAGTGTTGTGGTTGCCCGGAGGTTTAAAACACCCATTACTCATGCATTAGGGTGTGGATTTGAAACTGCAAAACTTTTTTACCTGCATACTAAATAGCTGTATGGAGTATACATTTCTATGTCATAATTATTATGTATAACGAAATTAAATATCATATATTTACAGATCTCTATTAGAAACAGTGGAACAACATGGCAAGCTATTATGTGCCGGGGTGAATGGTAGATGTTCAGGTGTTGGCCTGGCGTTGATTGGCCTGTGCGATGTGGCGTTAGCCTCTGAACGAGCAAGCTTCGCCATCAGCCCTAAGTCACATGGAGGTGTTGCGCCGATAGAACCAGGCGCTGCGGCATTTACTACATACAGACTTTTGCCTCAACCATTGGTAAATCTCAGTTAATTTACTTTTAAATATCGCATTAACCAAAAACTTAAATATAGAAATACACCATTATTAATGTATTACATATTTATTCTATAACTATAAAATACTTGTTGCAGTTGAACGATTTGATCGTTTTCGGTCGTCGGTTGTCAGCGTCGGAAGCATTGCGAGGTGGATTAGTAAGCCGTACACTATGGCCTGATAACTTCGGTGAACAAGTCCAGACAATCGTTAAAGACATCGCTTTACAACCCGCGCGAGTAAGTTAATAATCTTCGTAACTGTCGTCGCTTTCTATCCTTTGACAGTAAGCTTTCCATCCTCTACCTTCGTAAAGCAACTCAGAGATGTGCATGTGGGTTACACCGCCGTTGTGCACACATATGTGGTGTCTTGGGCATAAACACGACTGGTACAGCGCGTTTAGGTCATGGTTTACATTTCCGCAAAACTCTCCAGTTTTGCATAGTGGAAGTGACGCACACCGGTATTTACGATTGGTATCTTCAGTGGAAGATAGCTTCCAGTAATTAGGGTTACGACACCGACAGTTAAATGTTATGTTTGGTGGTGTGAGCTGCATATTCATGTGATGCATTTCCTCAAGTTCATCAGGATTCATACGTTGGTATGTCGTTGCTATGCTTAAGGCATTTTCGTTTATTTTACATTCCGGCCAGTCAGTTACAGGTTTACAGAACTGAAATGAATATTTTTATTTTTGTCAGATATGCACAGTAATAAAACACGTAAAACCTAAACTAACTACAATCTAAGACTAATATTTACGCACCTGTAAATGAGCTCGATTGTTAAGTTCAATTAGACTGTCGTTATGCGCTCGAGTGTCACAACGCATGCGACGCGCACAGCGACACAGTCGCACCAGCGCGGGTGCACGCCAGTACCGCAGTATCAACGCTGAACACGCTTGACGATCATTGCACGGTGGTAGACTGCGCTCACTCTCCTCCTAAAATAGTACTTTGAAATAAGTATTTCAAATGTTTCATTAAATTGACTCTGTATAAAATTAATCATATACTTCCCTACAAAAATGTACTAGCTCAACTATTCGACCGATATAAAAAACAAAATGCTCTCATTTAGTCGAAATATTCTTTGTTTTCGAACTAAAATACTTACAAGACCATAATAATATAAAACAGGCTCATCGTTGTCATCGCTCGGCGCGACGAAAGTAAATAGCACAAATAGCAATAGTTTGTTGAACCACATAATAATTACGACTGTAATGCATACTTAACTCTCTTAACTAACTCTTTAATAGGTCGCAACCTAAAACGATAAGATAACCTTGTTATAAGATATTAACTTTAACGGATCTATATATGTACAATGATTACACCTATTTGATTTGACAGGACGTCGTTATTATTTCTTTTATCGTTAACAATTCAACTACGTAACCTTCATCAACCTGTGGTCGGAATCTATTAAAACTACAGGAGTAGAAAACCTGTTCTCCTCTGTTTATGAGTAACATGAGTTGTTTTTCTTTTATAGAATATCTGGCTCAAGAAACGGATACTCAACATGAAGAAGAGTGGGTCTGAGTCTACATTCCTGGGGTATTTGGAAAAGGAGCGAAATTTGCTAGTCGAGTATTGGACATCGACAGAAGGACAGGACATCTTGCGTGCAACATACAACGCCTAATTTTGTTACAAAGAAATGAATATATTTACATTTTGCAAATAGTAAAAGGATATAGTTGCAGGTCAATGTTTTGGATGACCACACAATTGAAATCTGAAATTTGTTTAAAGGTTATTTGCATATCCATGTATTCATAAATAAAGGGTTAATAATAATGTATAATGGCTATACATTTATATAAATGACAAATTGTCCGACTGACATCAAAATTATTATAAAAATATTAATTAGTGTCTGCCCTACAAATGTATTTGTATAGGGATTAGGTATTGTGCAAAGACTGCTATTAGTGCGATGGTAGGCAACCAAGAGTGAGTGCAGGAAGAATTTGAAAAATGGTTTGATTTATGAGCAGATTTAGATCCTTGGTGTTGAATAGATTATAGTTATAGAATATTATGTTATGTTATAGATGAAATTGTTTATGTCCTTGTTTTAGATTTTATGAGTTTATGACTAACGGTTTAGCATAATTTTCTTTTTCAGCCAAAGTTTGCATTTACCGCTTTATTTAAAAACATCTTGTACGCAATATACACGAGGCGATAGTTCACATAAAATTTAATAAATGTTAATAAGTAAAGCAGTAAAGAATATTTCATAATAAAAATATATGATGTCTGACCACAGTTATGTTTTATAGATTACATTAAGTATTTTTCATTCCATTTCTAAATGGAACATAACTGGAAAATCTATTATATCTTTCATCCATGTTTTGTTCAAGATAATACTGTTAAATTATTTTATGTTTATATTTATAAGGTACCTACCTAGTGGTAAATTTATTTCGTTTGGTTAAAAAAAGTGCCTTTTATATAATATCGAAAACGATATATTTTGAGTATAAACAAATGTACTATAATTATATACAATAATAATAGAGTGCTGACCCTTGGAATGATTTTTCACCAACGTTAATTGGTGCACAGACATCACATGGTATTGAAAGTTATGGCCGCCGGCAGTTAGTTGTTTTTGAAGAATGGACCGCAATTATATCGCCTGTTCGCTGTGTATCACTGTCAATATTTTACTGGAGCAAGGCGAACAGGTGGAGTGCATAAGATGCACTAGCAATGTTGCACTTTCACCACATAGTACAAATAATTGTGTGGTACCTATGCGAATGTCGCGAATAGTCTAAAATTGTTATTTGAACATGTTTAGATTTTTAGTTGATAAAGGTTACTATGGGTTGAATTGATGAATGTGTAAATACGTTGTGGTGAAAAGGGTTTGAGAAAATGTTTAAATATTATTATCTCATTAATTCGGTTAGTGGTTAAAGTTGGATTAAATGAAGTGTGTACATATTGAATTTAATGTTGACGGATTTAAAGCTTTTATTGATGTGACACTGTAATATTTAATGGTTCTTATAGGAAAGTATTCCACAATGTGTTGTTTTCTAGTTGTTAATACCTGCCACGTAGTTTGTGTTTACCCGACTTGTTGTAACACTGTACAATCGACAATATACTTTATTCATTAACAACTATATGTTCGTAGCGCTCATCGGTGAGCATGTCATCACTTTCACAAATATTTTAAAATAATTATGTGTGTGTGTGTGCATTGTCGACACCTACAATTTTGTCATACTAAGTACCTACTGTTAAGGTTCATTTTCTAATGATTTTATTTTCAATTGTTCATGTATGTATATTTACAAAGCCTTAGAACTTATCAATTTTGTTGAGATATTATTTTCTTCATATATTTCTACTTTATTGTCATACCCGAATGTTTCATTTACTCATATAAAATAATTTGTATTCGAAATAACTCGCATGATAAGTATAAAGAATTTTATTTTATTGTCAAATGACAATGTTGTTTCAAAATTCATCCAAATAGTTAAGGTCATTTAAATTATGGGTTAAATAGTTTTAAGTCACAGAATTATGTCACATCCGAGTATGTGAATAGTGTAAAATTATAATTAAGTACTCTATGAATGTCTTTTTTTTTCTCCTATAAATTTGGCCTGGTGCATAAAAAATTGCATACAATGTACAGTGATAGGTACATAAAGCCACAGATACACTAGGGGACAAATGGAGCAACATGTTGTGGAACATGTTCCTCAACAACTACGTAGAATGTGCAATGGAACATTTTGTCGACAACACTACTCAGTGTTTAGAGAAATGTCGCCCGAGGAGGTTGTGGCTATCAGTGCTGCGTACATAGTAATTATATCAAGTGTGTTGAAATGTAAGGGAAAGAGAAGGTGGTGGATGCGGAATTTCTTATTACAACGAGAACGTCACGACTTTCGTAAAGCTCTATAAGCAAAAGCACGGTATCATTTCCCCACACTACAGACATTTAAAAGGCACGTTGCATACGCGACTACACTCAGCGACAAATGGCGCAACACTGACGCGGGACACGTGCACTCGCTCTCGAGGCGGGAGTAAGCAACATGCCCCGCGTCAGTCGTCACGTACAATGTTGTGGGACACTATGCAACGTTGCAGCGTCACGTGTATTTTTAAACGTAAGAAATAAGCATGTTATTTCTTACGTCTATTGGTTTGTATACCCAGATTTAGTTTTTATAATTTACAAACTTGCTCCGAGGATTGAAGTGCTGCGAGCTGAAGCACAGGCTTAAGACCTATTTCAGCAACAGATGCTAAAATTGTTTTCATGATACAAATATTATGTAAGTTATATGATAGACATTACGTAAAACAAAATTGTGTAAACTCTTTCTTGATTCAATAAATTTATTTATTTTGTGTTGCGCTTCATGTTGCGGGACAAAATGTTCCCTAGTGTATCCGGGGCTTTAGCTATGATGGATGGAACATGTCATGTCATGGACACTACTACACTACCACCAACATCATCACGGGATCGCTTATTAGATCCGTAGGAACCATTCTTTGTTATCTATAAATTATTATTCTGAGTTTTTTAAGGGGAGAAAATATCGAATGTCTTCTCCCGCCTGGGTAAGGCGGGCGTTAGTGTCAGACTCTTACTGACTAAAACCACCCCGTTCCTACTCATGCACTTCGAGCCGGAGCCCCGGTAACCCGTCAGGTTCTCCGCGGCTCCGTATCGGCATCAGCCCTATTGGGCCCCATCCGTGGTTGTCTGATGGCGCTCGGGTCTGGTTCTGGTCGGGCAGCGTGCCACCCATGCTCACCGTCCGCAGGCCCGCGCGCGCTTACGGTGGCCGGAGGTCGTATTATTCTGGGTTTGGGTGTGACATGTATAAGAAATTGTATTTTTGTAAACGTACCCACGACATAGATAACATAATAGTGTGGGACGAATTTCAAAAGCTAGAACACAGGAAATCTCTAGCTTCCAAATGTCAGGGCTACTAACTATAAAAACAACACACATTTAAGATTAACTTTATTACACAAACTATTATCACACTTTTTCTGCTACATTAGAAATAATAGGCTTAGGTCTAGATTTGAATAACAATTTCTTTCTGATAACAGCCTTTACTTTATAATTAGTTTTGTCATCTACAATAACTTTTTCAATGACTGCCATTGGTTGCTCAAGTTTTTGTTCTTTACCATTGAGAATATGGTGGCCAAGGACTAAAACGGGATGTTTGTTTCTATTGTAGTAATGCAGATCGCCAACAACCGTTGCTTCTGTGACTCCTTCTTTTTTCATCTGAATAAGACCCTGGAGCTCAACCAACGCCCACTCAGGAATTCCTCCTTCGTTTTCAGTTTTACTGAAATGATCACATAAGTACATATAATAAAAGTTAATCACTGGAGCAGATAGGAAATAAAATAAAACCAAAATATGGTTGAACGCATTTTTATTTATATATTTCATAAAAAAATATTAATAGAGCTGATGCCGATTCGTACCCGCGGAGAACCTAACGGGTTTCCGGGGCTCCGGCTCGATGTGTAGGAGTAAGAACGGTGTGGTTTTTAGTCAATAAGAGTCTGACACTCCCTCGCGCCTCACCCAGGCAAGTCATTCGATGATTTTTCTCCCTTACAAAAAATCTGAGAAATAATAAATTGGTAATTCTATATAAATATCTACTAGTATTACCAGAGATCAGATGTTGAATATGTATGGATGTAGCGACGCACATAGTGCTGTTAGTATCGGAACTTTTTGAAGAGCGGGTGTTTCTGTGCGTTGGCGTTGCGGCGGTGCTCGAAGTAGAGCGCGTCGTCTGCGCCCGCCAGCGACGACAGCGCCCCCGCGCGCCGCGCCACGCCCGACCCCGCGCCCCCCACGCCGCCCTCGCGCTCCTCCTCGCACTCCGTCTCAGACGCAGCCAGCACCTAACATAATATGGCTCCATTATATCAAAGGGCAAGGTATTGGGCACAACTATAATTTAATTATAAATAATAATTTAAATAAAAAAAATCTTGTTACAAGATTATAACAGTAAATAGGGTTTACCTGTTGTAATAGAAGGCCTTGCTCCTCCCGTGTACCATACAGTAGGTCAGGTTCCTGATCCATTCCCTTTAGTTCTGTGATGACCTACAAAAGAAAATTAGAGTTAAGTCCACGTTTCCTTTTCCCTCATGTTTCGTTAGTGGTTCTTGAATGAAGTCGTATTTTACCTTGTAGCTATAACCTTGATTGACGAGAAACCGCTGTCTTTTGCGGCTGTAAGCCATTTCTAATGTGTCTTGGGACACCAGTGTGTAGAAGAATGCGTTATACTCCTCCGCTAAAGCACCTTTCTTTGCTCTCAATATACGACCTGATAAATAAGAAAGTTTTTGAATACACAATAAAATTCGACCGCGACTTATATTTCTAATACAGTTCAAATATTCTTACCTAATCGTTGGGCTTCCTGTCGCCGTGAACCACCATGAGACGAGATTTGAATCAGAACATTTGCTTCCGGTAAATCAAAACTAGTGTCAGCAACTTTACTCACAAATATCGTATTCACTTTAGGGTTGAATTTGAAATTCTGCAATATCTGAATTCTCTCGCTTTGTGACGTGGGTCCGTAGATATATGGCTTATTCATTTTGACGGCGTAATGTCGAAGGGCGAATACATTATCGGAGAACACAATAGTCTTATCGCCGCGTCGTTCGTGATACCTCACCAGGAACTGACACGCGCGGAATTTTGAGGGATTCATTACGTACAGCAACATTTTCTTATTTATTCTGAAAAGAAAAATATACTCAAGAAACGAAAATTCGACGCAAAATTGTTGGTTTAAAAAGCCGGCAAACTGATGTAAATCAGAGTTTAGCTTACTTTTGTACAAGATATTCTCTGTAAAACTCCGGCGTCATGGGACACCACACCTCAGCGCACTGCACTCGCGCAATATACCCATTCGCTTGTAGCTCCAACCAGTTCGCTTCGTACAACTTTGGCCCAATCAAGAAGTTCAGATCTGCGATTTTGTCGTCTTCTCGAAGTAATGTTGCAGTCAAACCTGTTACAGAGTGCGCAGTGTTTTAACCACATCAATTATTTACTAATGGAAATAGTTATTTTTATTGTAGACAGCATATTCATTGATCTTTATTTATCAATGTAGTAAAATAATAATATTTAAGGTATTTTAAATCAAATTATATGTTAATATTTAACAATTTAGTATCAGCTGATTGTGTTATATTACAGTAGCATACCAAGCTTAGCATGTGAGTGCACGATGGTTAGTACTCTTCGGAACATCTTGGCGGGTATGGTATGCACCTCGTCGAGAACCACAAGTCCCCACTCCTGCGCCTGCAGCCACTTCATGGTCTGCTCGGCCTCCCACGAGCGTCGCTGTCCATGCGTGATCATAGAATATGTTGTAATCAGGATACCTGCACCCATCGGCTTGTCTTTCGCTTCTGACGTAAATCTAAACACAACATTTGTTTTAAGTGGTATTGGAGGCAAATGATAGGTTTACGACAAAATTTATTTCCAATATTGAATCTAAAAATCTTTGCCGAAATAGTAAATATACTTTCGAAAGAGTTTCTACAGCCTCCATAACATGGAAGGATTTCAGTAGCGTAAACTGTGTAATGATGAATGAAATTTATTTGCATTAGCTTGTAATTACCACCAGTACAGTAAGCATGAAGCATACCTGCAGATCATACTGTCGTCAGCCGTGGACCAGCACTTGAACTGTTGCTTCCACTGCTCGACGGAGACGCCCGAGTTACAGAGCACCAGCGCCCTCTTGCGGACCGTGCACACGGCCGTGACGCCCACCAGCGACTTGCCCGCGCCGCACGGCAGCACTATCACGCCCGACCTGTGCACCGCAACTCACTCGCTTATTAATCAATTGTTGCTAAGACATAAACATGTCAATATTAAAATGTTATATTCGTTTACATACCGCGCACGACCGTTTCCGAACATTTTCCGAAGACTTTTCTCCTGGTACGGGCGCAGCACGGCGGTGGGCTTCAAATCTATATTGATGTCAGGGTTGATAGAGTCATTACGGAAGTCATATTCCGCTAACAATGGGTGTTCAAGCTCGATGCAACGTTTTTGTATCACCTGTCACAAAAATTGCTGTTACAATATGTCCCTTTGTTTTCTTTTTTTAAATGTGACACCAACATCCAAAATACAAGTTACCTGTCAAACAAATATGATGGAAAACCATCCTTTAAGAGGGAGACCTTTCCTTCAGTGTAAACGTATTTCGGCCGATCATGATGATCGTTATTTGAAAAATAGTCAATGTAATATAATAAGTACCAACCTCAATTTTATCAGGGTCGACTTCAAAAGCAACGGCAGTATTGGCAGTAATGTCGGTGGCTTCGTCCTCGTCGTCGTCTTTGTCCAACTGCTGGTAGAACTGGCTGATGTCATCAGGTACCGCGCCGTTAGCCGCCGGCGGTTTGTCGCTTGTTTCACCTGGCAAAGTAGTATTTAATTAGTACATAAAGACACGAAAAGAAATCTGTTCAGTGTACGGTACGGCGCTGTGGCTGCTGCTTAATTAAGCTCTGTATGATACACTAATGATTATTCAGTTTTGTTATCACAACACAACATTTACACAGTTTGTTTTTATAAGAGAATATATTGTTTAAAATCTGTATTTTTTGGGGTTGCATAGAAATAATTTCCATGCAATGCTTAACACAATGTTTTATTTAAGATTTCTGACCACATTTTCTTGTGAATTGTAGTGAACTTGTAGACCCACCTGGTTTAAGAGACATTGCTGGTTTATCGGGCAGTGCCGACGACAAGAAGTCGTCATCGCCGTCGCGTCTTAGCCTACATTGCTGAATTACAGGGTCACGGAGTAATTTTTGGAGAACTTCCACGTGTTTACTCTCCACAAGATATCTAAACACAGAAAGGGGTATATATCTATAATAATAATAATTATGTCAACATATTTAGATGATGTCTCTTGAACTTATGGAAGGAGTTTTATAAAAGCATATGTATATGCTTTTATAAACCTTACCATTAGTTTTTCTACAAAAGAGAACTTACCTGTTATGTTTTAGCACAAGTTTCACTTTTCCATAGGATAGTGTACAAAGCTGTATAAATTCTATAATGCCTGCTGGTACGGAGCATTTACTAAGCCTCTGTAGATACTCAATAATGTCCACTGTTTGCAAACCCACTGACACTGCAGCATATAAACTGTAAGCTGTAAGTTTGTACTCATGTATGTGTTGTGGCCTGGAAATACAATATTAGTGTAATATGTAACATAACCATAATAACTTTTACTATTGATAAACCATTCTAATATTTAACCCGTTGAAAATCATCCCCTAAATTAGTTCATACAAAAATAGTCTCTAAACATTGGAAATAATCCTTACTAATATTATAAATCGGAAAGTGAGTTTGTTTGTTTGTTCCGCTTTCACGCCGTAACTACTAAACCGTTTGCTTTGAATTTTTGCAGATGTAAGTACAGTTAGAAGTCTGGATTAAATAATAGGGTACTTTTTATCCCGAAAAAATTTGATATTCTCCAGGGAAAACGAAATTATTGGTATAGATGGCGCTGTGTGTATTGGTATATGACATACGTCATATAAGCTACTTTTTATCCTTTTGTGACGCGAGCGAAACCGCGGGTGTATATAATATAATGTAGTTAGTGGCTCGCGGTCACAGGTGACTGCTTGGGGATATATGGGTATAATAAAAAATGATTGATAATGTTATTAATCTACACTCAAAACTTGATATATTTATTGTGGTCCGATTAGAAACCTTCATTTGAATACTACTACAATAACATAGTCTCTGTTCCAGACAAATTAAAAGTAATGTCAGTTAACAATAAATAAGAGATATTTATATATAGATAAAATTAACATTATAAAATAATAAAAAGAACATGTTAATAAAGAAGTATACATACCGGCACACAGGTTCAGCAATAGCAATGAGAAAATCATGAGCATGTTTATAGACGGGTGAGAATGCTTCTAAGAATATGTGACCATTAGGTGCCACCCACAATGGCCGACTGGCATTATCGGTTTTCAGTTGCATTTGGTTTCTGAAATGAAAATCAAACTGTGAACACCCCAGTTCCTTAGAAAGAGATTCTGGCCTCCTTAAACTTAACTAGCAGTATGATGTCAAAGGGGGTGTAGAATTCACAAATTTTTAGTTCAATGTGTCTTATTCAAACTCATTGTACAAACCACATTGGAAGGTCTTGTATTGATTGAAAAAGAAAGTTAACAAATGTTACAATTATTGTGATACATAGGAGGATTTCTATTCAATCAAAATGTATCGCCTAAGAGATTTGTTGCTCTAGTAATCTTGTAAGCATATAATTAACTATTGGGGAACTTTAATTTACCAATTTATGTATACACTAAGATGACACATTTAAAAAAATTAAGTACATAATAAACAAGTGTTGTATATTTTATCTCTGATAATAGTTTTACCAAACTAATGGAACAGTAATTGGTATTGTAATTACCTGTAATCTTTGGCACCGAATTCATCTTCTGGCACTTGGTCATTTTTCTCAGCATCCTGCATGGCAGCACCAGGTACTCCTACATTCTCGGTATTGTCATCATCCACCAAGTCTATGGTCACTTCTTCTTCTACTTTCTTCTTTTTACCTGTTTTAATGAATAAGAGTATTTATTTACTATGATCCCACAATAAATAGCTGACATGTTACACCATGTCATGAAACTATAATTTGTATACAGTATTCACAATTTATACTAAAAACAGTATTCACTATGTATACCTAAAAATTGCATATGTATTGTTGAATTGCGAAACATAAATGAACTCACCTGATCTATCACTTCCTGTTCTTGAATCATATTTTTTGAACTTCTTTGGGGGACCCATTTTATATTCCTAGTTATTTTCCAAGTGAATATCAGTTTTAGTAGAATATTTTCCACATCTACAAAATAGCGATCATTGTTATAAATATTACAGATTATAGCGATATAAACAGAATAATACAAAAGGCTTTAATTAAAATCAAAAGAAACAACTCCAACAAGTTTCAATCCAAACATTTTTCTTTTTTGTACTTACTCAGTTTTATTTAGATTTCACTTATTCCGAACGCAATTTGATGGTCAAAGGCAAGTAAGTAATAGAATAAATAATCAGATATTGTATAAGTTGAACTTTTTTTTATTTCACTGCTAGAAGATTCGCTTGTAGGATTTACAACGCGGATTTCCCGAAAACACTGATTGACTATACATGTGTAATAACACAACTACAAGACATCCCATAAACTCTTTGAATTCGTCATTCATCATCTATGGCAGTGACAGTTGACATGTTTAGAATGTCACTTTTTTAGCAGCGTTCAGATTAAAATCTTATGCAATTTTATTTTACCAAGAACTTATCTTTTTGGAATCAATTTAGTACTTTTATAATTATTAATTTACGGTTTAGTTTTTGGATATTAAATATAACCAATTTTTCAACGTCTTTGGTAACCAATTAGATAAAAAGTTGACTAGCTTAAAAAAAGTGCAAAGAACTTGATAATAAACATCAAATACTTACAAAGATTCTATCCTGCTTAATTGTATTTAATAACATGAGTAAAAAACAAATTAGGTAACAAGTTAGCCATTTGTTAAAAAAACTTATTAACTCTTCAAAGATATACAGGGTTAATGGTAACTCAATGTCGACCTCATCGTTCGCTTGATAAAATTGACGTGTAAAAGTGCTGCCTTGTAGCCTATTTGCAGAAATAAATTCACTTGTTTCACTTGTTTCACTTGTTTCACTCACTTGTTTCAACATATTCCTTGCAGGACGTCATAGTAGGGTTAAAATGCAGCAAATTAGACCACCAAATGTTATAAATCTTGCCGATTGTTTTGAGTTGAAGCACAGGTAAAAACTACGAATAATATGAATATGAAATAACAACAATATGTTGACCGTCTCGCAATTTTACCTGCTGCTCATAAAACTTCTCCCTTCTCTGTAACCCATGCAACAGTATTGACAAAAATACCTTTTTGGATAGCTGGTAAGACAAGAATATTTTTCTAAAAACATGTACATCGGGCGTGGTAATTTAATTTTTCACTACACAACATTTTGTATGAAGTAATTGTGAAAATCATAAAAAAGTAATGTTTCTTCAGTGATGTTTGCCCAAGTTTATTGCATTTTTGAAATTTTAATTATTTACAAAGAATTGCTACGTTATCAACTATGATATTAACTAAAATTTCAGCAGTCGCGCTGTAAATCATTTTTAAATTGGCTCCAAATGATTTAATCTGGGATTTTTTCATAACAACCTAAAAATATAAATAACTCAAAAACTACTGAACATCGGTAGAACATTTGGTGTCCTAATTTGCTGCATTTTAACCCTACTATGATGATTTGCAAGGAATATGTCGAGTTACCAGTGACCCTGTATAAAACATTAGACTTTCTGTAATTGTGATTTCATTTTTTTACCATGATATACTATGTATACCGCATTTAAGTCTAATGATTACTTTATACAATTTCCTAAAGCAGGAAATACAATGCATGGATTGTTTTAATATCACTTTGATAATTTTAATACATAGTAAATAGCTGAACATACAGTGTTTACTTTTTGGCAACATATTTTTCATTTTTCAAGTTATTTATTTACCTATCTAAATTGTACGTTTTGTAATACCAATATCATACACTATGATATACCACCAATAAGTAGTCCATAATAAGTAATTAAACTATGGTAAAACCTTAGTGCAGTTTTATATTCATCTTCTATTAATACTCACATTAGTCCAACTTTTGTGGTCACTTGGAGTAATGTCCACGTACGTAAGTGATAATACTAAAGATAACAATCCTAAGTTAAACATTATTTAATTTAAGAGATTATATTAATAAAAATTTTATATTTAGGTTATATTTTTATTCATACTCACCAGTCGATATACATTTGCATTTTCGCTTTCCTATTCCTTTTAGCACCAAAATAAAATAACCAGTTACTTCGAATTTAAAGAAACATTTATTTATCAATGATCAACTGTTTTGAATCGAACATACACTCAATAAATAAATCATTTTAGTTCACTATCATCTTTCGCGCTAAATTTTTGACAGTTAAATTGTGTTGCCAGATTAAATTTAAATTATTTAACTGTTTTAAATCCTTTATTTACGGATAATTTGAACTGGAATATATGACAGAGATTAGTGTGAATTGTTTTCATACGAGTGTAATGTGGAAATAACTTGATTTTTATGCAAAGCAATACTTATTATATATATACAATTAATATTAACTATAACTAAATGAAAATATATACAACTTAAAATATAAATAACTATGAACTAAAATATTTACACCTTAAAAATAAGGTAATAATAAATAAATAAGCTATAATAAGGCATCACAAAAAAAAATTTTCCTCATCATTATCGTGAGGTAGGGTGCCCAAAAGACTGGCAGCATTACCACGTTGAATGGCAATGCTTAACCTTTGTCCAAGGTAGAAGCCAGCCCTTCGATCACCTGAAGTGTCAACCATCCTCTTTACAATATCTTTGTAAAGAAGATGTGCACTTGGGCCCCACGGCCCTAAAGTTTCAACCCCAAACGGTTCGAAAGCATAATTGCCAATCAGGCTATCATACTTTCGCCGTTTGAGGTTCTCGGCAGCAGCAGCGGCAGCACCGGCTCGACACGCTGAGTTTGGAAGATGGGATGGCGCCAGAGTATCAACGCAAGTGGCGTCCCATACTAAAGGCCTACCCATCTTCCAAGGGAATAATGACATACCGTCGGGTCTCTTGCCATCGTTGCGTACCAAGCCATTAGGTTCTAAAGTAGCTGGCACGCCAACGGAGACAAGAGCTCGACGAATTATGTCATTAATACTCGCGTGTCGAGCAAAACGACCCGCACTACGGCTACACGACAAGCCGTGGTGTCCAAGGCTGTTGACATCTTCACCACAACGACAACGATGAGGTGAACAAAATGAAGCCCCAAGCCTTAAACAAATTGCAGCGCGGAATGTGGTGTCGTCCAACAAAGTACCTAAGTTGGACGAAGGCAAAGCAAGAAGCCATAACCCTGACTCCCACTCACCCACAGCCAAAAGGCGAGCTCGCTCTGCAGTTGAACAAGCGGAGTTCAATAGATTTTCGTTCACTTTCCTGCAGAGCGGCTCGTCCCATTGTCTCTGGGAGAGTGATTTGACGGGGGGGTCAATATTTGGGCAAGCGATTTTCCAAGCTTTCACAGCTTCCACTAAAAATGGTACATCAAAATTAACCAGTGATTGAGAAAGAATTTTCCTGGTTAATTCTTCAGTACCATGGGCGGAAGATATGAAAGCTGGTAGGCTTACACTGGAAATTTTACGGACGCCAAGCCCACCCATGCGGACAGGCAGAGTAGCTTGTGTCCAGGCTCGGTCGTCGAGAGCCACATTCAAAATTAAGGATAAAGTTTGTCTAATGCTTCGGTCAATTTTTTCTAAAAGAAGGGGTGCAGACCAGAGGTGGGTCGAGCGCAAAAAATACATAAATTTGGGACCAAAACAACAAAAACGAATAATAGTATAGGCCGAATGCATTCTAATGTGATACAGTCTTTCTGAAACGACAGAAATTTAACTGTATTGCTAGAAAATTAAGATGTTACTAAAAAGTTAAGGCATGAGAGTGTTGCTTCAATTAAAACTTGGTATATAACAATATGACTTTTTTGAGTTGTATGTACTTTCTAAGATTATTTTTATAATAGCCTTGTACTTGCAGTATATCAACAGTGTATAAGTGCCTACTGTTGAAGAAAGGTCAAAGGGGTCTTCTTATACGGAGAACGAGATAACAGTTTCCTTCTTTGTTATTCTCTTTCTCACTTAATGGGGTTTGGCGATTTCCAACTTAGAAATTAGAAATCATAACTCCAAGCTTCCTTATTATCCTGAGTGCACGGTGCGTCGCGTTCTGCACGCGCCTCAAAGACCCATCAGACCACCACGGATGGGGCCCAATAGGGCTGATACCGATACGGAGCTGCGTAGAACCTAACGGGTTACCGGGGCTCCGGCTCAAATGCAGGAGTAGGAACGGGGTGGTTTTTAGTCAGTAAAAGTCTGACACTCCCTCCTGCGGCCCGCCTCACCCAGACGGGAGAAGTCATTCGATGATTTACCCCCCTTAAAAAAAAGCCTCCTTATGATGTTAAATAATGCCTAATTTATTACAGGGCGTACTAACATCGTTGAACTCGGGTAAGTAATTACGTCTTAATCTTAAACCTTTTGTTTGACCAACTTACGGTCGAACAGTTAGCAATAAAGTTCTCTAAAGTTTTTGACGATCTAACTGCAATGTTGATGAGATTGAAATCTTGCTATCTTACAACATATGCGAACAACTCTCTCGCTGCCTTTTACAAGGCAAGGAAGGCGGAATGGACAACGGTCGTTTATACAGAAACGTAGTTCTGAGGAGAATGATTGGAGCTGGAGCTATGCAATACTTGTGACTGAAGAGGTGATTCCAATATTATGTTAGGTATTTAAAAAATTGACAACACCTCTGTGCGATTGGTGTATTGGCTGGGCGACCGATCTTGCGGAAAGTGTCGCGGTTCGATTCCCATATAGAGCAATTCTTTGTAGATCCATAAACTGTATACCTATTACAAGTACATGTGCCACGTATGTGATAATGTGTTTGTAAATATCCCACAGGATTAAAACTAGGGCAACATTGAAAAAAGAAAATCTAAAATGTTTGTGGAATTTAGAAATAAAAATCGTTCTTCATTATTGGTAGGTCATAATTTAATGCAGTTTTCTTTTATTATTAAACATTTGCTTCTGCTTTTACTTATTAATATGACAAATGGAATATTGTTTGATATCTAGATTAAATATATATTCTGTGAAACTATTTTAAACAACTTTTATATTTCCGTCAGCATTTTGTACAACGATTGCTAAAATAACATTTTCGACACTAATCGTAATTTAAGGCAACAAAAAAAATGGCGGGACATAATAAAATGATATGAATAAGCTGCTTTATGTATTACAATACTTGTGACCGTAAAATTAAAAACAAAAATATAGAAATAGCAGAACTAATTTCTATACTTTTGTCCTGTTATGCAGAATACTGTACAACTCGATCATTTAGGGATGCTCAATTCAATTGCCACTGAGGAAACTCAATAGAGAAATTCTTTTCATGCACATTTTATGCTTTATGCTACAATTTGTGTGTAATGAACAAACCCTTCTGTTTTAAGACGTAGGCCACAACAATATACAAAGTAGAAAGGACAGCTTGTGACAAAGTAGTTATGTTTGGTACATGATTTTCCTCCTTGTAATGAAATAAAAAGGTATATTTTTTTAAAAATTTTTGTTTAATAATGCTGAATTTGAATTTGACTGAACCACAATATTAATGGTACTTTTACTAAAATGATCACATAATAGTTCACAACTATTCAATGGGATTTCAACTAGACTGTTGGAAATCATTACCAAAGCCATGAATTCAATGACACAAGCTGCCCCTTTTATCCTTCATTAAGTATATACAAATAGTTTAAAATAAATACTAAATTGTCTTTCAATGAACTATTTATCAATCGCCATTATATGTAAACATCGAAGACAAACAATAAATATACAAAACAAATCAGTTTTAAGTAATTATAATTACTTATTTCATTTAATATTTTGAACATTACATTATGTTTCAGTCCGTAAAAATGGCCGCGTATAGCACTCCAATGCTGTCAATGTAATAGATTCAATAAAATGCGCAGACTTTTGTGCCATTTTACTAACGATACAAACAACCGACAGTTCGCTTCAAACATACATTATGCAACGAGACAACACACACGCTCACACGCACTCGCGATAATAATGCACTACACTATCTCTTAAGTAACAACAACGTACTTATGTTATAGGTATTTGGAAAATAGGGCACATTTCAATTTACTTCCTTTGTCGTGTTGTGCTGCATACGATTCCAGAGCACGTTATAAATACGTGAACATCCTCAAGCTTTCATAAATAAGTTATATAACAGTTTTGGATAGAATCAAACTACAAGTGGTAGCGACTAGAATTTTTTATCTAAATTAACATATCTTTAAGTGTTTCCATCGAGATAGGAAAAAGCTTGTGGAAATTGCTATATTTATAACAGTTAAAAGTTACATTTATTGCGCCATTTTATTGTAAAATACCTTTATTTAGCATCCAGCATTGTAGCTACTAACGGCAAGTGTTAGGCTTAAGACCCGTAATTGTATTAGAAATCAACACTTTTTGATACATTATAATATGTACAGGAAAAATACAAGTGTTCACTGCAAACTATCAATTAAAATATGGATGATTAGGCGAGCGCCCATTATTGTTCAATGGACTAACAAACGGTGTTTCTTTGTAAGTATGAGTAAGACAATGGTGATGATAAAACACTACAACTCGTATCTGTTGATGATATCATGGATAGTAAACAAGTTAATGACTGTCGTGACACTTCAATAATGGCCGGCGAAACTTATACTGCATATAGGTGGCGGCAGTTAAATAGCAGAGTAGCGATAAACTTATCGAACATTAGCTACGAATCTCTAACCACAACAATATGCAGCACACGTCTCGCCGACTGAACAATATAAATAATAAACAGCTAATTTATAACTAATTCGTTTAATATTTTTCTTTTTGTCTATTTTCTAATGAGATTTCTATTCATCTGCATTTAAATATCAGTCACTAATTGTCAATTATTGTCAGCATGACTAGGTATCGACACAGACGGCGCGCGGCGCCCCACTCTACAGACAGTCGTGATATTGATACAGACATACAAGGACTACAGGTAAACAGGTAGAAGCAACTAGTACAGTAAGTATTATCGAGAATATTTCAACATAAATATGGAATGTAGCAAACACTCAATTGAAAAGACCCCCGGGTTCTGGCATTCAGCCATAATTAAACTAATAATATTAAATTAGAGACAATATTTACAATAAAATAGTAACTATGCAACGTAAATTAATATTCCTTGCGTTTACTGTACTGATATGCATCCTTTACATACAATTATAAATAAATATAAAAGTTGTTTAAACACAGATTTATAGCTGCTGGATAGAAATTAAACTTTAAAATAGGTCACTTAAACATGAAACTGTACACTGCAAGACATCAGCTCACCGTCGACGGACCCTCGGCTAATACACGATATTATCGAGGGCCACGCCGAAAGATTCATTAAATATTATAATATAACTTTAATCGTTTCTATTTTGAATCAATTTCACCTAAGACAACATACTTCAACGTAGACTTTATAACGTTATATCTTTTTACTTTATCTCAGTCTTAGTTTTCGCGAAACTCTCAGACGGCGCGAGGAACACGGGCGCGGCGCGGCACTCCCGAATAAATAAATAGCAAGTCTATAAGAGTCCGGGGCGCGCGCGGCCCGAGCGGCCCGGATATGGAATGTAAGCGTGGACTCGGCGCGCGCGGTCACGCGTCGGGCGGCGCGGGCGGCTCGGGCGCAGGCGGCGCCGCGGCCGGCAGGAACGGCGCCGCCGGCCGCGCGCCCATGCGCACCCACCAGCGCGTCGCCTTCTGCAGCAGCCCGTCCTTCTTGCCGCGCCGCGCCGCGCCCGCCTCCGCACCGCCCGCCCACTCCGGCACGTCGCTCACGCACTTGTTCGGTGGAGGCTGGAAGCTGCTTCTCGTCAGCTCGGCTTGCTGTAACCATAACACCGTATCGTTTAGATGGAATCGGTCAATGAGAAACGTAGAGAAGTTGAATAAATGAATGTTACAGTTGTATAGAGAGAAATTAGAATGATATATAATTATAATACCTGATAAGGGACTCGTAACTGTAGATGCACGTCCTGCCCGTACTCGCCGTCGGGCAGCTGTATGCTGGGCGGCAGACCGAGCCGCTCGGCTGCGGCCGCGGACCTCGCGCGTACATCTTGCTCCACCATCTCTTGCAGCCGACCCACCATCGCCTGCACCTGTAACCTCTGCTGCTTCTCCCATTCCCTGGAATTTAACAATAATTTCATTAATCTCTTATCATCATTCAAATAAATCCATACTAATGGCTATAATATAAATCACAAATAGCTGGCAATCCGATTGAATTATGAAGCTATGTCAAACTGCGCAATAGATGTATGATTTATTTCTGTACTGGTATTATTACATTTAAGAATTTACTTATTTTCCCCTGATCACCTCAACTACTAAAAGAGTTTTGGGTATGTTTGAAAGATTATTTAGGACATTATGATCCTTATGTGAATCAACTGCCTTGTAGAGTTCTTTCTCAATGTTGATTACATGTGAATTGATTTTTATTCTATTCTGATCGACCTTCGTTTTAATATCAGGACTAAACAAAAAGGACTTCCGTTTTAAGGTAACTAGCCTACTATCTACAATACTGATTAGGTATGGTTTGGTGATAAATGACACAACAGCAAAATGTGTGATATGCTAGACCTCGTTTTTTATCAAGTAGCTATCAGGTATATACCTACATGACGTGTAAGGTAAAGAAGCACCTACATATTCTGGTGTTGCTATGACGTCCAATCTTGAATGTCAAGGAGTACTTACAATGTGGAATGGTGATGTCTGTGATCGTGCCGTAGGCGCGGTCCCCCCGGCGCGCCCAGCCGCTCCATGCCCGCGCACCCCGGCACTTGTACCGAGAGCATCTGCAAATCACAACACACTACTCTCACTTATGTGGTTATCCTCGGGGTTAATATTTTATCACTATAAGTACTACTTTCTTATAACTGCTGTCTATCTAAACTAAAATTTAAGGACAAAATATAATCATACGTCATTTTCAAGTAGTGAAGTAGACAAGGAAGACATTCAAAACAGACTTAATTATGGGGGTTCAAGTTTGAGTATAGTATAATTCACTGAACCCTCTGTATTAAAAGCTTATTTAAATATATCATAAGATCATTAAAATTCATTTATCAATAAAAGGAGTAGATATTTTAAAAAACCCATTATTTACAGTAAACCAAGATTAGAATAGTTATTAATATTAAAGTAAATTTTTGGCAGTCATAGAGCTTTAATTTGCTCCATATTCGTAATGCCCCATTAGATAGCAACACATTTGAGGAAAATCAACAGCAAGCTGTCCAAAATTTTGTGCAAAATGTTAACATTTTCGATGGTTTGCAAGAAAATTATACTGATTTAGGTAACAAACATCATAAAGAATGCACCTTGTGGTACTAACATAAGTATTAAATTAGATAAACATTGGGTACTAATTATATTTCTTTAGGATGTACCTTAACAAAAAAAAGAAAACCAAGAACCTAATAAGTAATAAGTATAGTCATAGTAAGATTGTTAATCTATGTAATAGGTATACAATACATGCATAGCTTATGTAGAACATTTAGGTAGATATATAATTTTATTATTATTGTTATTGAGTGTACTTTGTGCCATGTCTACCTTTTAATTGAACTTTGCACCTTTAGAATATCTGTATGCAGCTGAAGTTACATTATAAACATACTGAGTCATCATATTTATCTAATTACATCAGAAACTGTCTGACATTAATGTTTATTTACTTAAATCACCATTTACCTATTGCTAAAATACGCTATTTGAGTGCTTAGTCACATTATATAGGATAATATTTTATCTAACTAATATTAATTAATTTTACCTCAAGCAATAATGGAATTTTACATATAAGAATTTATCAGCTAATTTGTATGTGGCAGCTATTATTGATTTCAATTAATTGGTTAATTGTTACATAAATTGTAATAAAATAACAGTTAATTGCAACTAAATTGATTAACATTGCAATAAAAATTGTGGTTGATATTAAGCATGGATAATAAATAAAGAAATACAATGTAGTAAAATTTTAATTAGTAAAAAATGGGCAAGCATTTCTATATTGTGATGTTTAGTTTTGGTAAGATAAGATTTGTCTTCAATAATCAGGTTCTTTCTTCTTCAATTATGTATTGTTCATGGTATAAATTTATCTTGAATCTTGTTAAGATAGCACAAGTTATCAGTACTCCGAACTCACATAATTAGCTTTAAACTGTCAATTTTCTACATCTAACTACTATTTGCTTCTTTCAAAAATAGGTACTGACCTACTTTTTGTTTTTGTTAAGGGATTTTTAAACCTTTCTGTACTGTTGTGCTGATTCATTAGCTCTCAGCTGATTGAGATAATCTATGAACTTTGTTTTCCAATATAATCTTTATTGGAATTTGTACAAGAAGAATTTGCACTACAACAATATCTTTTCATTTGGCTGGAATAGTATTGTTGTTGTTGATAAAATGTCATTCCTTTTTCTTATTATAATTTGAACAAGATAAGGTTATAACAGTACTCAGTGGGTTGGGTATATCATGTTTTTCAACTCTGTTATTGATAAATCCTGATAACTTTAAAATAGTAAACAATAATTTAGGTATAGGAGGTCATTGCACTGTAGCATTCTTTTGTTTGCATGAATAATCAGATATCAACTGAGAAAGGTGTTTTTGATTCACAATGTTTTCCTAGTACAAACTAATATTTTGATAACAGAAAGCATAAAAAGTCAACATTTCAATGATTACACTTATCTGAATCAAAATAATGCTTGTACAGGGTATTGCCCTTAAACATTCTCAATCTTTAAGCTAAAGAAATACTTTGCTCGCCTATAATAACAGTGGAGACAATGATACAGGTGACATTTGATATTTCCAAGTCTTTTAGTTTCTTTGCAAAATGTTTGTTCAAGGTGCATACAAGAATGGTAGTCAATATTATTACTTAAATTTATCATCTACATAAGCTACATAGCATATAAAATTTAGTTGTTCACTATGCATAAGACTGGTTATGATCTGGTTGTGATGTGAGTAATAATAACCAAAACATATATGGTACACTATAGTCACTGACATTTGGTCTGCAAATATAATTTTCTGTGAACTACTTAGTACATTTATTCTGTTTCATTTATAAGCATTACATTTATTCTCAAAGAGTTTGTATTTTATGGAATAACCTAAAAACCATGGTTGGCAATGAAATGATGATAATATGTGCCACAGACAGGCAACTATTATACTTGGATTACAGTAGAACTCAGTGTCTATACTGTTTTTCGTGTGATAACAATGTCTATTGAAATGTCATCAGTATCACTAACTTTTATATCTAGATTAATATCAATACTTTTATCTTTTTGTTTCCACTTTCCAACATATTTAACTTAACATATGCGTTGGGAGCTGCTTCTTGCCATAGGTTATACATAATGTGTGACATTATAACTACACTGTCAGCATTCTGATTACAATCAACAGACAGCGATCAATTTAAATGCATCTTCAATATAATAACACAATGTTATTCAGTACTCCTAAGAACCTTCAGATGAAGAACATTGATAGTGTGAGTCAAATTATATTGATATGATGAACACAATAACTATTGTGTTGTGATAATAATGTTATCAGTATTTTTTACATTAGGTTGTGACACATTATGTTTTCTAAATGCTTTACACTATCAAAAATTAGTTTTATTATCAATTGCATGAATGAAAGACTGTAAGATAATCTTAAATTCTGTCAACTGAGAGTATACCCACTGTTTATGCCGAGTATATTTTCAAGTTGTGCACATATTATCGAGTTGGCATGTCACGACTATGATACAGCAAGAGGTGATTACGGAACTGTCTGTCATGAAAATTTATTTAAATTCACACAAACAACGTCTGGGTGTGACGTCGCTATCGGCGCGCCTCTTATCACTTGGCACGCTCCCGCCGTCTCGCGGCCATCCGAGTCGCCTCGGGCCTCACTCGGCTCCAGTACAAACATTCTTCTATTCTATCCATATTCCACATGATATTTACTAGTTATTGGTTACAAACCAGTCCTTTTCGTAGGGAAAAGCTAATAGCAACATATGTATCAATTTTTTACGTTGCGATAGGTTACTTTTACAATCAAAATAATTTACGACTATTATATCAACAATTCAACACTACTTACTATTTGAAACAGTGTCGTCCACAATTTTTGTAGGTTTTCCACCTATGGATGACAGTTAGTGATGTGCATATATCCAAATTCGATGGCACTCTAATCGAGACACAAATAGGTGAATCGATCACGAACATATAATTTTATTTTAATTTCACTACACAATCACTGACATTGCATTTGTTTTGTTGAAGCTGTAAATATTTTAAACAAAACAATCACAGAGCACTATAGAGAGATTAGCGCATTTACAATAATTAACTATAATTCACTAATAAATAAAAATATGTTATTCAAGGCATTAACACTATAAAAATAAAGTTATTTATTAATTAAGGATAACGTATAAATTCCACTATCGCGTGTTTTGTGATGGAGTTTCTTAACTCCTTTTTTCATATTGGCAGAAAGACGCCTGCCATCGAGCGAGTCTTGTTGTTCAATGACGCGGACGGACGCGGCGCGGTGTTCGCAGTCGCGTAGCGGGGAGGACGGGCGGGCGGGCGGTGCACCGGCTGCCCCGATGTCGCCGCACACTAAAACTTTCGTTGTGTGTAACATTGCTCTCTCACACATACAAATAATCTGTCTAGTTCACTTTGTGTGCTCAATCGGTACTTCGGTAGGTGCGATGATACGATGTTGCCAGTGCGAGTGAGTGTGTTTGTAGATTATAGTGAGCGTACCGTATGTGTGCATATGAGCTGGCACACATGTAGAAGAAGCTCGATTGCTGCTACCGTCGTAGTTGTTATATATGCGCACCTATAACTGTAATAGTGAGCGATGACGCGTTTGTCGGCTCGCGAGACGAGACTGTTGGCATTGCTCAATGATCGAGTTGTAGTCATAGAACGCACGTAACCAATAATCATAGGTGTTCAATTTTTTTTCTCCTTTTAAAAAAATGTAAAATCATGTTAAATAATTCGAGTGATACTCAGTTCCAAGTAAGTTTGTGAAAAGCAAGTACCCTAGAAAGAAAAGTACCATCGTATATTTTAAATTTTGATTTCTGGTTGTTACAAGATTGATTATGTAAATAAACATCTCCTATAAAATAAACAACTAGTAATATTACGTACAATGGTATGAACAATTAATTTTAAATTCGTAAAAAATCCTGTTAGTTTACACATTTGTAGGAATATTAAAGTAAAATTCTTGTCTTACTGTATCTACTTATCCGCCTACTGTGATTGTATACTTACAGGTTTCTACTTTACCACTTCTAGTAATATTTATCACCAATGGAAATAGGAAAAAAAAGGCGTGCAAAAATGTTCCTATTGAAAATACTTTTGCAACAATAAGTCGAATATCGGCTCGCAATTAGTAGGTACTATCCCTTATTCCCTTAATTTTTTTTTATATTTAATTGTCCGACGTTTGACCGCCATTTGATTCCTGGGAATCCTGAGTTCATGTTATTGTCGCCTATGAAAATGATAACAGGGTGAATAATTTTATATACCTAATCAAAATAATTGCATCTTCAACCTTCATGGTATCAGCATTATTAAGTACTTATTCTATAATTATTTTAATTGCAAACCAATTTTAACCTGATGCATGTACATTTTATGTACTTTCTTAGTTAAATATCTACAGTCTAATAATAAAAACCAGCAGAAAACGAATTGCTTTTTATCTATCAGTAAAACAGGTAAATATGTTGTGTCTACATGTATATTTGCATAAAATAGTAATACAACGACTCACGGGGTTGGCGGCGGCGGCTGCGGCGGCAGCGTGTCGGCGGCGCAGGTGCGGGCGGGCCAGCGCGCCCGCGGCCGCACACACCAGCACAGCGGCGCCAACGCATGCGCCCGCCCACCACCACTCTGAAAAATTATCACTTTCTATTAAATAAAAATCGATTGACTTAAATAACAAATCAACCGACAATAGGTCGTACATCACTACCGTGCGGGATGCATTTTTGACAGTTCGAATATTCGCCCAAAACGTTCAATTTACTGACAGCTTTGAATTTGATTTTTTCAGAAATTGTACTTTTTTAATGCAATGTCAACTTTTTATTTCATAATAGTGATGCATGATTAATATAATATTTTTTGTCAAATTGTACGGACCTATAGAAAAATAGTAAAATCTTTGTATACTTCACCAACAGTAAAATGGAACTGAAATTATGAAGTAGGTAGGTAAATGTTAGGTAATATTTGCTTCGCGCGCGCCTCAAAGAGCCATCATACCACCACGGATGGGGCCCAACAGGGCTGATGCCGATTCGGATTCGCGGAGAACCTAACGGGTTACTGGGGCTCCAGCTCGAAGCGCTGGAGAAGAAACGGGATGGTTTTTAGTCAGTAAGTCTGGCGGGAGAAGTCATTCGATGATTTTCCCCCTTCAAAAAAAGTCAAAAATTGAATCTAGTATGTGACCATTATTAACAACCCGAGACAGCCCACTGGTGGTCTATGCGCCTTCTTTACACAAGAAGGGTTTGCCAATTGCCATAGGTAGTATTTTCGTTTGGCGTTTGGAGATCGTAGTTTAAAAGGTTCAGATTTAGGTATTAGTACCTATGCTCTGTTGTCCGATATTTCGACAATTTGTAGACCTTACCTAAAAGTATAAAAGTACTTAGTCCATAATATTATCATTCTCTGGCCTCCTAAATTTTCCCTCGTTGCCGCTGTGATGTGAAAGAAAGACAGATAAACAAACAAACATTTTTACATTTTTAATATAGATTTATGCGTATGTTACATACACATTTTTAATTAGTTCATAAATATGTACCTTTAGGAAAATATAAGAGTATTAATCACTTTATTTTTAACTTGCACAGACGAAGCTTTCATTACAAGATATTACATACACACTGATTGAAGATTTAGGTAGTTTAACCTTTCGTGTGTCTAAGACTTGGATCCACGCGAGACAATTTATTTGCTATTGTCTCATATCGGTGCATTCAAAAGGTTAAAGCAAAAATATCTATACATATAACAGTGTAAATAAGTTGATATGTTTACTAGTAAAGAAGTAAGTACTTAGACAATGGGTTCATCAGTCATTTTCATAAAGATGCAATAATTAGAAATATGAGTAATAGAGATCATTAGATTAGGTATACACGCATAGTTGGTTATGTGTCGAGTAAAAGTGTGTTATGAATACTAGTTAATTAAGTTTTATTTAAAAAATGTAGGTACTGGTATTTATTTGCACCTCGCTTATCACGTAAGCAATGTGTGACGTGCATTGTGTAACGAAAGCTAATGGGTTGCCAAGTAGTGCACTGTAATGGAAATGTTAAATTACCCTTAGCGTGAAAGCCCTGCGAAGATGCCAAGCTATATTTTTTATTAAATCATCTGAATGAAGACCAGTAGGTGACATATTGTACGATTTACATTTTATGTTTAACTACAAGTTAGCGAAGGCGAAGAGCAAACAAAAAATACGTTTGGTACGTGTAAGACACTCACAAATCTATCTGAAGGTGTGTTTGTTGAGGGGAAAAGCAACGAAATATAATGACCTATTTTGACACGAAGACCGAGGTAGGGGTTGATATGGTGTAGAGATGAACATTAAAAATAATAAAATAAGATTATTGAATACATTAAATCCATGTAGATATCAGTATAGAAAACTAAAGAAAGTGGACAAAAGAACGAAAATTTATTTTTAATTTACAGATTGAGGAAATTAATTATTTTTTAAAAACGTATCGAAACAACAGAGCGTCAATTATTTATGTTTAGTATGGAACATGGGATACCATTGTGCAATGAATTAGAAACACAGCTAATAGAAATCTGTTTTCTAAGAAATCTGTTAAAAATATACTGTTTATTTTACAAAGTTATATCGCTGCAATCAAAATTAAAACGCGGTTTGTCACGCTGACTGAACATTATCTTTATGTAAGTGACTGATAGCGGTGGACGAATACGATTAACAATGCCTGAACTTATCAGACAACTTAAAACAAAAACGTATATTTATGACGTGTGTTGTTCATAAACCACTTCAATCTGGTAATCGTTGGATTTCTGATTAGACCAGTGGCTACATAGGTACTTAAGATATGTATGTACCTGGGACGTTTATCTTGCTGAGATTTCAACACTAGAATTGATGATGTACTCGAAGAAACTGTGAGAAACGGCTAGACAGGCTTTATCGTAATCTCCAGTATCTGGCGAATTTATTAAAATCCCGAAGATTAACTTACACGAAGTAATTAAGGTGATACTTTTAAATGAGTACGACCGAGAAGAACGGACATCGCCCCGAATAATTAAAACATTTAACAAAGGCAAAGAATGCATTATTTTAAAGATGCTACGTAATTTGTAAGGAATTGGCTCAAGTACCAAGAGGTATTTAGAAGGCTCATTAACAATGAGCACCGTTTACGTCAATTTCTTCCATTTTGTATCCTGTAGGTGCTCTGGAAATTGTTTTAATTTATTTTAAACCTGTTTCTCGTCCATGTTACATTTTGGTGAAACTAAAATATAGATACATACATCGCTTCACGCGAAATTGTGTACTGTGTCAATTGTATAGGTGAAAGCGAACACGAAGTTTATGTTCTATCAAGTATTGGGTAAAGATAAAGACATTATAGTTCACTATGATTCCAATAATTTCTGCTTTTAATCTCTGTCGACCTGTTTGTACGTTATACCAATGCACGAACCATGTTAATGCGAATTTTTTCAAATTTTAATAATTAACAACTATCAATCGATTTTTAGAGGCTCGTTTTATTGCATCGAATATATTCCACGTTTCCCATATATATATTTGTAAAACAATAAGTACCGCTGATTCATATATTTTATAGACCTAATAAATCACAACACAATCACAATCAAAATAATTCTTTTATAAACTACTACAAGCAACCCTTCTTTTTTGAAGCCGGTTAAATTAATATACTAGAACCTTTTCCTAAGTGGAACTAAAACTTTTCTGAAAATCGTGTTACAACCAGTTCAGCCAATCGCGCGATAATCATGCACATACATATGTACATACATACATACCCACACTAAATACATACCTACATACAGGTCAAACAGAAAATATATTTTTTTTAAGTTGTTTTATTAGTTACACAACTGTAATGAATGTATAGAATAACGGTACAAGCAGAGGAGCCTTAGATAAGTACACTTCGATGCTTAATTTTTTCGTAGCCCGTAACGTAGCAAGTGCGTAGACGCGTCGTCGTAGCAACGTTGATCAAAATATCGTCAGCGTAGTCAGCATGGCATGCTTAAAGTCTCAGAAACGTGGTCAAACAAAAATGTATTATCCATTTTATGTGAATAACGATGCTTTATTTTTGTAATCAATGTCAAAACATTAGTTATAAATTCTTAGGTTAATGCAGTTTCGCATTAGTGCCATTCTATTTTTGCTGGAGAGTTTGTTTGCGTGGTTGGGCTAAATATAGCAAAGTTTAATCAGAATATCTCTCTTGACGGCCGTCCGGAGTAAAACTGAGCGCACGTTTTCATAACTAAATTGTATGTTAATGGTTTGTCAGTACACTTATGTCTATGCATGTGGTATTTGTAGCGGCTTACCACAAAGCAAAAAAAATGATCGGTAGGTATGCGCAATAATAATTTAATAATATACTCATTCTTACTTTTTTAAATAATTGCAGTGGATGGACGGAAAATATTTTCATTATTTTTAAAATACCTGCTACTTAAATGCGCTATCAAGGAACTTAGTGGTTTGTCTAGAAAGTGATTCGTGAAAGACAGTAGCTTTATATCATTTGTATTGTTGTAGTGAATGTAATGAGCCGAATGTAATGCAACAGCACCAATGACACGAGGGATGCGTCACTCGCGTCTTGTCTGGCGATTAGTATCCGCGAGCCGGATCTCGTAGACTAGGAGTTAGCGCGGCCGCGAGTTACTGTCGACGGTTGAGGCCAAAACAAACGGCATGTGGTCGCGCGTACTCGACAAAAATTCGACATCGTTCGCCCAAGAATGCACAGTGCGGTTATTTATAGAGGTTGGGAGGAGCGCGGGGGCGGCGGCGACGTCTGGTGTCGGTCTGCCGGGGCCTGCCGCCGATCACCGAAATAGCTTCTCCAGCTGGCGGTACCTGGCCACGTGGCGCGAACTCGCTCGTTGACTGCTGGCTTACCTGCCTGAGCCTTGTCAGCAACCGCGGCCGCTGCAAGTCTGAGCCGGTGTCGCGCCATGGTCAGCTGGGGCTTCCAATACAAAACTTTACTAGGTTGCGGTGATACATATCAATGTAAAGGGCCGACGCCGATGAATGACTAGTAGTGGGCCGATGGTAGTGGGCCGATTGTGCAATTTGTAAACGGTATCGCAGAATTAATTGCGTGCGTGGTTGAGGGGTCGAGTAGAGCTTAAGATAGAAATCAATAGTGTATTAAGAATGGACAGCGAGCCTCACCTTGCTGTCCTGTCTGTATGGCAGCAGTTATAGCATATAACAACAGAAGGTGTTATTTCAGATACTTAGGTACTAGATACTACTTCGAATATACATATACTATAGTGACGACAACTTAGTTTATGTTTCATAGAAATAAAACACAGTAATACGAGATAAAACATCTTCAAGGTGTCGGTTTGCTGCGATCTAATCAAGATTGCACGCGTTATAATCCGTGAAACTAGTTTTATATTGAATGCAAGTGTAGTGTTTGAATGTTATAAATCATTATGTAGATACTGAAACATATGTCTTATCGGTAGCAGACGGTGACTGAAAACATGGCGGACAAACGAAAAAACATTTTTAAAAGTTTGACGCGTTTAGTGCCCTGACGGCTGGGAGTACGGTAGGTGCCAATTAT